TTTGGCCATAGCAAGTTTATACACCAAGTTTGAGCAAAATCGGAGAGCTCAAATCCATTTTTTGTTACACTTGGTGTGGAATCGTCGATTACACGATTGATATACTCCGGAATGGTGTCCATATACGTTTCCACACCTTAAAAATGCTGTCTACGAGATTTTATCAGTTGTTTTCACTAAATAAAATATTGATTTGATCTTATTTATCGATCAAAATTATTTTTCAGGTCATAAGAATGTCGCTGAACTTCTACTCAGTAAAGGAGCTAATTATGAATTGAAAAATCATTGGAATAATACAGCCCTTCATTTAGCTGCTCTGAATGGTAATAATTGGATACTTGTTTTTACCAAATAGAAGATTGATTTGATCTTATTTATCGATCAAAATTATTTTTCAGGTCATAAGAATGTCGCTGAACTTCTACTCAGTAAAGGAGCTAATTATGAATTGAAAAATTATTCGAATAAAACAGCCCTTCATTTCGCTGCTAAGAAGGGTAATGTTGGTTATTTGTTCTTACTAAATAGGAAAACAGTTTTATTTTTTTCATCGATCTGTGTTATTTTTCAGGTCACAAGAATGTTGCTGAACTTCTCATTAGTAAAGGAGCCAATGTTAATATTGAAAATATTGCGAAAGACACACCTCTTCATTTAGCTGCTCAGAGTGGTAATAATTGGATACTTGTTTTTACCAAATAGAAGATTGATTTGATCTTATTTATCGATCAAAATTATTTTTAAGGTCATACGAATGTCGCTGAATTTCTACTCAGTAAAGGAGCTGATTATGAAATGGAAAATTATTTTACTAATACACCCCTCCATTTAGCCGCTCAGAATGGTAATGTTTATTATTTGTTCTCACTAAATAGGAAAACGGTTTTTTTTTTTCATCGATCTGTGTTATTTTTCAGGTCACAAGAATGTTGCTGAACTTCTCATTAGTAAAGGAGCCAATGTTAATAGTGAAAATATTGGGAGAGACACACCTCTTCATTTAGCTGCTCTGAATGGTAATAATTGGATACTTGTTTTTACCAAATAGAAGATTGATTTGATCTTATTTATCGATCAAAATTATTTTTCAGGTCGTAAGAATGTCGCTGAACTTCTACTCAGTAAAGGAGCTAATTATGAATTGAAAAATCATTGGAATAATACAGCCCTTCATTTCGCTGCTAAGAAGGGTAATGTTGATTATTTGTTCTTACTAAATAGGAAAACGGTTTTTTTCTTTTTCATCGATCTGTGTTATTTTTCAGGTCACAAGAATGTTGCTGAACTTCTTATTAGTAAAGGAGCCAATGTTAATAGTGAAAATTATGTGAAAGACACACCTCTTCATTTAGCTGCTCAGAATTGTAATAATTGGATACTTGTCTTTACCAAATAGAAGATTGATTTGATC